ATAATATTGTTAGGGGGACTTTCAGTTCGCATGAAAGTAAATGAAGACGAGTTTCGCTGGTCGATCTCACGATAAAAGGACGGATGAATCTCGTTGTACTGCAGCCGTTTGGCTTTTATACTATATTCATTTTAACGCAATCAACAAGACTTCCTCCCTCGTTTCGGGTGTAAACGTGCTGAGCTTTCGTCCATCATATAATGGACATCATCAAAGATGGGTTTCATTCTTTTAAGAGTCTCACGTTAACACTTTATCCAGCTTTATCTTATTTCTTTTATTGACTCAATTGAGCCAAACGAAAATTAAACACCTAGATATATCGATATAGAGTGGTCTGCTTAATTTTATTTCATACTGGTCCTGTTATTTTTCTTGATTATATAAATATGTGTATTTATACGTGTTAGAGTCTATATGCAATACGGTTCCTAAATCAGAGTTGTCAAAGTTTTAATCTAAGGTCCTGATCCTCAAAACCAAATGACCGATGAGAAAGCCTTGACTGAAACTACGTAGATCCGTAAACAAGAATGGTTGAGATAATGAGGTATGAGCTTGTAAATATGAAAATTAAGTTATGAAACCATTTATCCTAACCTTTCAGTGTAGGGTCATTAACGTTTAACCCTCCAAGAAAAGGCAATACTCAAGTTGCATAATCTTATATGTCTAGCTGCAGTAAAACGAGATTCATCCATCCTCATCTGGTGAGATCGACCAACGAATCTCTTCCTTATTTACTTCTTATGTGAACTGAATGTCCCTCTAATAATAATATTTAGGCTGTATTATATAAGATGCTCCCATATGCAAAACTCTATCTATAGCTTTGGTCAAAAAGATTAAAAAATAATAATGCTAGGTATTTCTTTAATTTGGCTTGTGAATAAAGCGTGACTTTATATAGAATTTATTTTATATTTCAATAAATTTATTCTGTTTTAAAAGTTATCAAACAAATAGTAAAATACAGTTGTAGTAAGTTACTGTAAATATTTTAATATATAAAATGTTTATTTACTTAATAATAAATAAATAAAAGTAATATTTAAGTTTTTTAGTTTTTATCAATTTTATTATCACCGTATTATTCGAATTACTACTACGTCCACATAATGCCTGTTAAAATAACCAAGGAGGACGAGCTGCTCCTTGAGCAATATAGCCGTGCGACTTCGGATAAATCAAAAAAATTAATTTATGCTAGTGCAGTTCTTGTCGCTGCAATCCCTATTTGTATGAATTCTTTCTTATTTTTATTTATAGGGCTTTACTGGCGGATACACGAAATGGACTTATTCTCGAATCTTTACCTGTTTGTCATTATCAGTGGGATTTCTGCATATCTTATTGGCCTTTCCTATGGGAATTCAAAAGCCCCTCTCATGGAAAAGTTGCTATATTTTGTTTACATTCCTTAGGATCGCTGCTAAAAGGGCAGATGCAATTACAAAAATTATCAATAAGGAGGTTGGGAGTGATAAAAAAATTTCCAGGCGAGACCGAGATGACATGTAAGCGAACTAGTAAACTAACCTATAAGGATACGGCACCGTGTCAAGGAGGTCTCGGACTATGAATCAACTACATTTTCACTATTTTACATCAACGCACTGTTCTTTCTTATCTTGATGATCGCATCGACTGTCTTTCACCAATTTTCATCTACCGCGTACGCTTTATTTTTGTATATTCCTCTAGAAATTATATATTCTCGATGCTCATTGCCTCTGGGTCTACTGTATTTCTTTCGTCAACTAAAGCAAAATGATATTCCAAATATTTGCCAAATTCGGCTTATGAATAGTATTTATCTGGTATATATAAAATGTATCTATCTGTGCATTCTTTTTATTCCTTAAACCAGGAATTTCCCTCCCTCGTATTATTCCTCTAGCTATTATTTGGGATAATCTAATGTAGTCATTGTTATAATCTATCATCTGACTCACTTTTGTATTTATTGTGTGCACTCCTGACAATTCAACTTGCGGTCCTCAAATGAATCATTTTTCCACACTTAATCCACGTAATGAAACGCAACGTTTCTGTCCCGCCCTGCTTTTACTGTGTCTGAATTCCACTCAGATAATTTCTGTCCAGGTGACTTGAAGACACACTCTTTGAATTCAAGCTCACATTCGAGATAGATATCATGGAAGTTCTGTGGATAAAAATTTAGCCTTTCTGGGCGGCTTAATTTGGCTTAAGGACTTATAGCAAAAATCTCCTGCTAACATTTTAGCAGTCGTTACGATTTACTTAGCCTTGACAAGCTGTACTAAAGTTTCGCATCATTCAGACTTATTCTACACTCCTAATATTGTCCAAAACCAGGTCCTGAGCACCTTGTTCTAAAAGGAAGGCGTCCACTCCGTGAGATCATTGAAATATAATTTCCATTGCCGGCTTGAAGCAAATATTTATTACATAATAATACCTCATCCTGTGACCATTTTACGTCGTGATGCCATCAGAGCCTATCTTTCACAGCATCTAATCCGCACTACTTAACGCTTTATGCAATTACTCGGTTAATTGGGTGAGATTTACCCTCATAAACTTGCTTCTGGGTCGTACCCTATGTGACTTTAAAGTGCCCGAACCCTTGGCTATGTACTAATTATTAATGTCTTACCCCGATATTTGAGAGTATTTTATTGTCTCCTCATCTCTGTGGCCTAACTATTATAGTCTGAACCTTATTGGGTCTATTTCTGAGCCTGAATTGCCCACTCGTAGGCCTAAATATATCTAGCGTGAGCTTAACAGGTTCAACTAGCAATTATCGCATCTGGCCTCATATATTCAGATTACATCGATGATTCGTTTATTCCCGTTGTATGATATTTAACTATTTTGCATTTTGGAACCACTTCGCACATACAGTATACATCGGAGAAAAACAACTTATGAATATTCAAAATAATACTTTGTAGCTTTGATGCTTTATTCAATTTTGCCTGCATTCCGAATTG